CACTGAGGGTTGCGATCCATTGCCGGACACGAAAAAAGACAAAAAAAAAAGGAAAAAAAAAGAAAAAGAAAATTAGATAACAGTACTGTGTCAATGTTAACCTATCAACCTTCTTCAAATTTCACCAGTAATCTTAATGCTCTAGTTTGATCCAGGATCTCAAGCTGTATTTTGTTGCTATGTCTCCCTCGTCTCCTTTAATCTGTAACAGTTCCTCAGTCTCCTTGCCTTTCATAACCTTGACACTCCTGGGAAATACTGGCCAGAGTATATCCCTTAATCTGAATCTGTCTGATGCTTACTTATCATTAAATTCAGGTTATGCATTTTGGCAGGAACAAGACACGAGTGATGTGTCCTTCTCAGTGTATGAGGAGGCACTTGCTTAAAGTCCTCTCTGCCAGGCTTCTCTGCAAAAAAGTTACTATGTTTCCCTTTGTAGTTACTAAGTACAAATATATAAATATCGTGTTTGTCTCCACAGTTTTCCCCACAAATTTTAGCATCAATGAATTCTCTAAAAGTATTATTACTATGGTGTTTAATAATGACTTCCTATTTCCATCATTCATTCTACACTTCCTAATTGAAATTCTACCATTAGAAAGAGATTTCACTTCTCCCCCCATTGATTTATTCATATTGTGGATTATTATTTTATTCTGCAAGTTAAACCCATTCCAATAGTTATTTACTTTGTTGATGAAATTGTCTTAGATGTTTGTAAGCTCCTGTGTCTTTGGGACACGTCTCCATCATTTTGTGAGTGCTTCCTTAGCTTCTGGCAGCACAAAATGTCTCAGGCATATCTTTACTTTCCTTGTCCCATCATCCCTGGAATAGGTCCTTTCTTTAGGGATCCCAGGTTCCTTTAACTGGAGAATGGTATTTAAGAACCAAATTCTGAGGACTAGGTAAATTCACTAGTTCCAAGGTATCATTGCTTCTAAGCCCTCTCAGCAGACAGAGCTAGTAAACATATGGATGTATACATATACACATCTATATCTACTTCTTTATCTTTCTGCTTATACATAAACTCATGTATATGTGCGTGTTTGTGCACTCACACAAATGTATATGTCATACATATATATAAATCCTTAAGTTCATGCTGATATCTCCAGTCCAATTCAACACCACTAGGTTCATTGCAGTCTTCTCTTTTACATGTAAATACCAATCTCAGACAGTGAGAAACCTAGAAGAGCTGTGCTATTTATGCAGGTATCCGTGACAGCATCAGCACAAGGTTTCTTGCCCATGCTCCCAAGATAAATATTAACTATAATACAAGTATTGATCTTTAAATGTCCCCACCATCCCCATTATACCAAATAATTATAGAAATGCTCTAACTGCATTTAGAAGCAATTCATTAAGAACAAAAGTCCCCATATGTTAGTTAGTGTACGTAGTCAAAAAGTTTCAGATTAGAAATCTATAATTTGCCATAAACTTCAGGAATTTGCAATTGTCTATTGGCTATATACTTCTAAAATTATGACCACTGGAATTCAAGTAAAAATCAGATTTGAAGTTAGCTGTTGGGCAGCTCACAAGTACAGCTATCAATGATGCTTAGGCAGTATTTTAAGCCTTGACTCTAAAATTTTTAATGTAAATTTTGTATTACTATTATTCTCTTTGAACACTTCGGATTTATTGCTAAGGAAATTCTGCAGAAGGCTTTTGTAATATATTTGTGGGGAAGCACAGGACATACTATAACCAATTTTTACTTTTAACCAATGCTTCCCTCTAGTCTCTACCTGTAATGCTACTTATAAATATAACAAAGCAGATGATTTCTACAGTTTCAAGCTACAGGCCATATGTCATCATCATTTATGAATCTTTTGTCTAGA